GTTGCGCTGTGTAGTCTGGTCGATGTTTACCAACGTTTCGGAGGTCATACTGCCTCCGTCATCAGGGCGATGAATAATAATTTGTTCTTCCCTTATTTCATGGACAGCGTTTTATTTTATTTTGTTCTCAGTGATTCCGTTCAATGTTTTATTCTTTCCCATCTAACACAACGACAACGTCACCAGGAAATGTTATATTTTATAAGGATATGGTACAAAGCATGGTCTAGACGTACGCTAAATGACATTGACCTATTATTTGTCTAGTATAATAGTCCTTTGTGGCTTGGGATCTCCTCTGCCTGATCATGTTCAATTCAACTGGTTCGACCGCGTGTTAAGAGAACGGACGACCGCAGAAACAGGCAGGACGTCGACCAGGTAGGCGCTTCGAGTCCCAAGCATCGAGGCCGTCGCTTTACGTGAACCGAATGTTCAACAGCGGGATCATACATAATATTCCCTAGCCCAGTGACTTCGGACAATCGCCTTATTAACGTCTGTTGCCTGTGGGGCACAGTGGACCGGAAGGTCGCGGGAAAAGCCACGCGCACGGGAGGGATCCGGCAACCGGAGTCACCGCTTGGCTGAACACGGCACGCGACTTGACTATTGTTCGGCACAAAATCATCCACCCCCAAACAGCGACACTTTCAAGCTGCCAGCCCTCTCACTTGTCTGCATCTTTTTTTTATATATATATATTTCCCTCTTAATTTTCCGCTGACTACAATTCTTTTTCTTTTTTTATAATTTAAAACCCAGAACCATATCAAAGTAGACGCACACGATGTATAATCGCTTGAATTACAATTGATTTAAAGTGGATTTACTGCAAGGCTTCCTGCTTGAGGAAGGGTGAGGAGAGAATGTTCTAGCGTGCAGAGGAATATTCAGAGTAGTCTAGCGAAGTTCGGTGACTAATGGAAGTGCGAATAAGCTGAGAACAAAAGAATGCAACTAAAATTGTGTCTCATTTTTGATTCTCTAAATTACGCTTATACCAGTGTAAAAATTTAATTTATAATCGACAGGGAAAGATTTCTTTCGCCTCGTAATTCCTCGTCCTAATTCTCCTTCTCATATCTTT